AAGAGGATCTATGACAAAGCCATTATTTTTTCCATTTCAAAAGTTATCTTTGGGTTTTGTACTTAAACATCATAAATGTAACTTTAAATAGACCTCACTAGATGTAATTTTTGCTACTTTGTAATTTAGCGTTACACATATTACTAGGATTTAACTTGAAATACTACTTAATTGTGGAGAATGTATGTATTGCTTCATATATGAGTTCATTCCTTGTTTACTCAGTTCTGCTGGAAGCAGTAGATATTGTGCTTCCTTACGTAGGCTGCTTTTGGAAAAAATTAAGGCATGTGAGACCCTTTCACCAGATGCACTTAGTATCTTGCTGGACATTGGTTCTTAATGGAAGAGCTAATTTTCTTATGGATGAAGAGAGGGTAGGATGAGATTTTTTGAATCATGGTAGTGATAAAAAAAGAGTAACTTTCAAACTCTTTGGTGTATTAGAGCTATATGCAACTTTTATGTTTATAAAACATTTTATTCCCTCTACCTGCATCCCTCTTGCTAGTGGCTGCTGGGTTTCCATCTGGACAAACTCCTCTAGAAACCAAACTGTCTGAAATAAAGCTGGCTGTGGAATATGGTGCCAGAGAGATTGACATTGTCATCAGCAGGAGTCTGGTGCTGACTGGCCAGTGGGAAGGTAAGTACCCACCCTTTGGCAAGGAACCTAAATCTCTGTATATGCACGTGCAAGCTCTGTTTTTCTCTCTTTCCCAAGTCTCCACAGCAGTCCTTGAAGATTTTAGTCCCTCCACTAAGAGTAACTGATAAGCTGGGGCACTGGACTAAACAAAATGATTTAACTAATTTGTGACAAATGGTTGCATTTTTTGAAAAGAATGCTGTTACAAGTCCTGTCTAGCTGGGCATGCAGAAGGACTTTGTGTTTTGAAAATTCAGGTCTATTCATTCTATGCCATTAGAGGATTTGGTGTACATGATTAAAAAAATAGCAAGTGAAATGGAAGTGAATGCCTAATTATTTAAACAATTTTCTTAAAAGCCCCAAGGGGTTGCTAATGTAGATGATACCTTGTTAAATATACATGTTTCAATTCTTGACAAAAATCTGTATTTTAGTTGGTTTTTTTTCCCTGAAAGTTGAGGGTACAAATTGACTGTTCATATTATTATTGATGTTCTTGTGTCTGTAGACTACTACTAATTAGTAAGAACAATAATGCTGAAGATGATTTTTGCTCTAATTGCCTCCTTAATGTACTGTGAATGGTTTGCCTTAAGTGCTGACAATGCTCCTGTAACTAATCTCCATGTGAAGGTAAACACATCATTGTCTTAGAATGAATTTTCCATTTAATTGTATAATGCAGTGCCATAATAGCCTGTTTGCTTGGAAGACTTCATAAAGGACCCCTGGCACCTGAGTTTGGTTAAGGAAATACAGTCATCATGGTAACAGATCATATTTTCTGATGTTTGTCTTCAATTAGCAGTTAGAACTGAAACAAAAACCCCTCATGTTTCTGCATCTGTATCTTCAGGACTGATACCCTGGTTTCCACTTTTTGTAACATCTTGACCTCTTTTGTAGTATTTACCATCTCCATCCTTTTGCTCTTAAATGTGTGCAGCTTTACAAATGTTTGACTTCTTGAGTATGGGCATTGCTGCAGACATTTGTTTCTTTCACAGTGGCTGTTTTAAGTTCAGGCCTTAGAAATTGCTGGAATATAGACACTGGGTGATTGAGTGGTTTTAAATAAGACAGAATGATGGATCAAGTTCTGTACCAGCTGGCAGCATGACTGTACGCACACCTTCTTATACTGTATCTTTGTTAGGGTCTCCGCTATGGTCCTCAAAGCAGATCCTCACTCCAGCAGCTGCACTCCGCTGCGAACACATGTTGGTCTTGGATACAGATTGAGCTGAGTCAGTGCTCTGTCGCGAAGACTGAGAAAAAGACCACTAGACTGGACTTGAGCAGCACCTTGCAATCGTGTCTGAAAAAGTCTGTCTTGTAGTAATTTCGGACATGGTGGTTACCATGCTTCAGACCTTGTGCTACGGTGCTACGAGACACTATGAAGCACAAGTTGCATAGAGCAGAGATCAGAAAGTTAGTGCATGTAGGCAACTGCAAACGCAGCTGGAGCTTATATTGCCCAGGATTACGGGAAGGAGAACTCAGAGGACTGATACAGGGCTAGATTCAGAGAGAAAGTTTGTATTGGTGACTGAAATGAACTGGACATACATGGCTACATTTTTCTATGTGGGAAATGAATTGCATTTCATCCCAATCGCAAATTACAGCGGAGAAGTACACAGACATAGTAATGAAGGATGTACTACAAAGCTGTCAGTTTATTAAATAAGTAAATTAGGGATGGTTTTTGATTTGGTGTGTATATTCTTTTATCCAGAGCTGAAGTCATGATGAGGTTGGAAGCCATCCTGGTTTTGGCAAGCTTGGTTAGTTTACTTTTTTTTTTTTTTTTTTTTTGCTAAGGACAGAATTGAAATTATTTCCCAATGTTTTCTGAAAGTTTATTCACGAACGTGAATCTGTGTATGGCACATGTTTACAGGGTCTTGAAAAAAGCCCCCGCGGGAACAGAATTTACTTGCCATCCAGATAATGATGCTACAGGGTGACAAATTATATTTAACTTGCCCATAAAAAAAATTACTTCACTACGTGATCTGAATATTTTGGTTAAAATCTAGTGTTCTGACTTCCTGTTTAGCTTTCAATAGATGCATGTTACCTGTGTGAACATGCAGGTTTCCAACTCTATCTAATGATTAGATATGATACACAGCAGTGTGTCAGTACATTTAAGGAAGCTAGCAGAACTGTTGAAGAAGTCTTTTTTAGGATAGATCCCTATACTACATAAAATGGAAAAGTCTAGTGCAGTAACTGTGCTTGTGGTCAAGGTGCTTCATCAACTAGAGCTGCCTTGCAGTTATGACAGAACCTCTGCTTATGCTTATAACACTAATATATTTTTGTTGCTATTTTCTCAAGCTGCCTGTCTTCACAACTTCAGGAGTTATTGACAAAAATATATATGCAATAGAGTGCTTTATCTTACCATTCATATATATTTTTAGCTTTTCTCCTAGCCTGTGCAATAATTGGGGTCACCATGATAGAATAGTGTTGCTTTGTGATTTGTTTCAAAGGCTTGTTTGGCTGTTAAATGTTTTAGTGTATGTCCAATTATGTCAGGTTATTTTAAAGCAGTTATTAAATATTGTTGGAGCTCTTTATGATACTCAGAATATATTTTCTAGATTTTTATGAAGTAATTGTTAAGATGTTTTTAATAGTGCTGGACATGAAAGCAGCTGTTGGACAGCTAAATTGTGTTGGAAAAGAAACATTAAATGAGATTTAAGTTTATGAACTTATATACTTTTTATAACCTATTAGCTTTTCAAGCAACACCACTTTACATTAGTTTACTCAACTGTTGTCTTTTATCACTTGACAAAGTATAGATTAAGCTTAAAAATTACATTTTAGATACTGTCTTTAGGCACAGAATGTGGAGCCCGTATGTATAGTGATGAAGTTGACAAATAAATTGTTGAAAGAAATAGGATTTCTTTTTTTTTTTCCTGTTATCAATGAATATGTGGAGTTACTGTACCTTCTGAAGCTGTCTAGAGTGCTGTAATGTTATTTCTAGTTGCACAGCTTTTAGCAAACACCTGGACATAATACACCATCAGCGGCTTCAGAGGTATTGTTAACTCATCATTTGCTCTATGTCAGTTGAATTTTCCTACAAGAAAAGGGAAAAATCCCAAGTATACTCAAAGAAGTTTGAACGTGGCTGCATCCATGAAATACATTAGATATAACCTTATTATGAAAACTGCCTTTCAATTCTGTTAATAATTATTCAACTGTAAGTTTAGAGGCTTGTTCAGGGATTGAGGCCCCCTTTTGCGCTACATACTTTATAAACAACGCAGAGAAAATACATTTCCCACTGCAGAGACTTGGAAAAGGCTCCACAGGTTGTCAGAAATAGTTGGATTTACCATTTTCTAGATGTGCAAGCTGACTTGGGATCCCAAAGTCTTGTTGTACGATTTCTGTCTTATATTGTCAGCAGCAGCAGCTCAGACTCCTGAAGCCAGGCTCTCTTTTCAGTTTCATGTGAATCACTGGAGCCTGGAGTTGCCCATATGTGGCTGAGAGCAGAATTGAAAGAGCCGTGTTGTGCTGATAGCCTTGCGCTTGTCATTTTGTTAACAAACCTGCCATTAACATGCAAGACAGAAGGGGCTCCAGCTCATTTTCCAGTTTCCCATCATGATTACCTTGATCTTTTGGTCTTACAGAAATCGAAACATCTTCCCTCCTCGTCTCAGTTTCTACCTGTAACATCAGTCAATGTGACTGACTAGATAAAAACAGCAAACAAGCTGAATCGAAAAGAAAAGAAAAGAAAAGAAGTGGTTTTATCACCACATTTTTGGAAAAAAGCTGTTTCGCAAAAATTTAAGATGTGATTTTTTTCCCTTAATATTTTCATTTCCTGCATAGGAGATATGGATTTTCCCCTTTATTTTATGATTTTAGGACAAATATATTAGACCAAAGCAAAAGACCGTCTAGATGATCTAGGGCAGATTATAGCTAGTAGTAGTTGTCAGGGGTGTTTGCTTGAGAAATGTGTAGGGGGAGGAACATATTCTTTGATGTATTTAATAGCTGCTAAAAATCAATGCAATGTACTGAATAGTTACAATTTTGGGAAAACTAAAAAAAAAAAACAAGCACCTTCCAACACTTATCTTTTGTAACGGTGAAATTAAAAACACAGCTATGGAAGTATTTTTTTTTCCTATAAAATCTGAATTTTCCTCCCTTCTGTAAATGCACCTAGTGAAAGCAGATCTTAGGTTCATGAAAGCAGTAAGATATATTAAGTAAGTGGGTGCAAAGTAGAAGAGTTCTTAGGTCACCTCCATTTTAACAGCTAAGTCAGTGGAGCTACTACAGACTACATGAGTGAGCATCTGGCTCCAAATATATTCTATATAGGTTGGCTTGCTTTTGGGTTGGTTGTTGGTTTTTTGTTTTGTTTTGTTTTGTTTTTTCCCCACCGACTTAAGACTTATACTTATTTTATAATGGATAGAGTTGGGTGCTGTGTCCAAGATGCTACACAGTACTTGCCATTTGCTTTCAGAGCTCTTGATTTTCTTTTCATTGTTTTTAGCAGTCAGAAAGAGAGTCTCTTCCAACCTCTTCATGGCGGTCTTAGCTCACGGTTCAAAATGTGCCTGAAAGATTTTTGGTGATAGAGAAGCTCTGTCTGCTGAGTTAGTTACTGGTGTTCTGCACAGGTTGCAGATATTCCCAGAATGCTCTGCTCCTCCTACTGACCGGCTTGATGGAACTGAGTAGTTAAGTGATGGACTTTTTGGCAGCACAGACTCTGTCCCAGAAGCAGCCCAGGACTCCTTGAAACACTGAGTGCATTTTCAAGTGTGATTAACTCCACCCATACTTTAGATATTTGCCATGAAGTTTCAGCATAATCAAGTTATTTGTACCTTGATTAAATCTGACTGAGTACTGAAACTTCGTTTTTATTTTTGAAGGGAGTAGGAGTTTTTGCACTTGTTCTGTATCAAAGCGGTTCCTGCTTGCACTGGGACGGGGGTGCTCTGGTTAATTTTCTCTGTCCCAGAGGTAGTTGCATTTCTATTTGTGCTTTTACTGTAGGGTTGAGAATGTCCTATGAATGCCAGCTATTGTCTGCAATAATTGGTCTCTGAATAAAGAGCAGTATTTATTACCCACACACCTGCCTCATTAAAGTATGCCCACTTTTCCACCACCTCAGCTAACCTGATAGACACGGATGATTGAAGATCCTCAGTTGTTCCTGTCTGTGGGTTGATGCGTGCTGTCAGACAGTGAGACTGTTCAAATGATCTTGGCACTAATTGGATATAAAAGTACCTTCCAACAGCAGGGAGGGTGCTGTAGCTGTGATACTAACTCCAGTGAACAACAGCTATGAGGATATAATTTCTTTTCATGGAATCCAACCTAAATGTAAATTTTGTTGATTTTATTTTGACATTTTTGGTGGTGTATCTCAAAAGTAGAGAAAATCTGAGTCTTTTCTTCTTGTTACTGAAACCAGAAGAACATGAAAGCTACTTTCTCTGGCTTTCCAAAAGCTTTGGGAAAGAATCACTCCACAAAAAGAGACTGCCTTTGGAACTAACATGAGCAGTGTTATCAAATGCACAAGAAAATAGCACAGGTTCTTTGTTTTTCCTTTTTGAGTCTCAATTTGATGTAGGTTTCTGGAGCATCATCAATTGATCAATAAAACATGTTAGACTGCATGCTAGTACTGATTAATTCACCCCTTTGGTACACCGTAAGAAACAAGGTGAAGCCTGGTGTCTATAAAGGGACTTGCTAAGTGCATTAGCCAGTTGTCTACTAATGTGTGTAGTATGTCTCAGAGGACCACCCTAGTGATCCCAGCCCCGACCACCTGGTGTGCTGATGGCATCAATAGGATGCGGCAGCATCACGGGTGGAGGGGAGGTCCAGCCATACAGCAGCTGGGAAACCGTACTGTATGTTTCCAGCTTTTGCTTGAGTTCTGAGGGGAAAAGAAAGCTAGTATTGCTGAAAAAAATTTAGTCTTCATAGCCATATCCTGGACTTTTTTAGCAAGGAAGATTTGTTAAAAGCTGTATTTTAGCCTTCCATAAAAAAAACTTTTCAACTAGATGTTTGAAGATTAAACACAATTTGTGAAAAGGACTCTCTTGCAGAGGATCTTGTTTGCTTATTTTGTGTCTTTTTTTTTTTTTTTTTTTTTTTAATTCGATTTCCAAAAATGGTGGCTGTACACTGTAAGAGCTGCTTTTCTAGCCACACCGGAGGAGTCTGGAACATGTCTAAGTGGCTAGCTTCTAACAGCTAATTTCTAGCTCTTTTAGTCTCCCTATGTTTAAAATTTTATGGGACCACTACTGAATTTTACCAAAAAGGGTGGGAGGGTTTCCCTGTGCTCCCCATGTTGTGTTACCTGACCAGGTCTACAAGTTCTAGCCTTTTTGTAGTCAGTTATGTCCAGATTTATTGCAGTCCTTACCAAGTCTGTGGAAATACAAACCTGTTAGAAAGTTAAGCATGCCTGTGGCCATGACACTTCGTAAATCCGAAAGCAGAAGTTTGCGAGGGGGTGGTCTGCTCCGGACAATGTCCATGAGCAGCCAAATGCTGGCCTGTCCTCCCTGTCCCTGCTTCTCCCTGGCTGCAGCTGATGGCCGACTGGTTGAGTGGCAATTCACTGAGAAGTGGTGAGCAGATGGGATGTGCGCTGGTTTGTCTCACGGAGATGCTGACTGCTTGGAGATGAGAGCTAAGGAGACCTGAAGGTCAGAAGACAGACTGATAGCAAGAGGCCCTCCAAAGGCAGTGGGGAGGTAGGGGCAACTCAAGGGCAGGGTTTGCTTTTTGTTTTCCAAGTGGTGTGAAGGTACAGAGATAATGGTTTGCTTTATCTCAGATCTAAAAGGCTTTATAAAAGTGTCAGTGCAAGTGGCAGTGATTGTGTGTATAACACTGGCTCATGATAAACCTCCTTCCTGAACTCCAGCTGGCTTCCTCAGTGAGCGAGGGCATCAGAAGCGAGGGTCCAGCTCTACCCTTGGAGCTGCAGCTCCACAGCGTGCTAGGCAGATGTTGTCCTGCCCGGCCCTCCTGCTGTGGTGCTGCTTTCACCTTTGCCAGGGCTGTTTGAGGTCATGGCACAGGATGGTCTGAGTCCTCAGTAACTTTGGGCAATGCAACTGCTTGAGGTGGTTTGTAAACACAGATCCATGCAGATTTGCTGGTCCGTGAGGTGTGATCCCAGGCCTTGGTCTCTCCTCACCAGGGACGTTAGCAGACTACATTGATTTTTTCAGGAAATTCATATTTCCAAGAAGCTTAAAGTGTGATTCAGATGACTAAATGCAGACATTGAGCTCCATAATCAGACTTCTCGAGATGGTCCCATGGTACTAGGGGGAACAGTAGGAAACTGAAGGGAGACGTGGAGCCTTCAGGAGTGGCAGCTGGAAGCCAAGGGGTATACATCATGGCATCTCACATGGCACTAATGTTTCTAATTATACAACTTGGTTACACCTTTGGTGTCTTTTAGGCAGAGCCCTTTGGCAAACGTGGCTGAAGGGGACAGAGAGGGTGATGACATGATACGGGCAGGAAAATATAACTGTCCCTGAATACTGATTCAATGTACTACCATATTTATTGCTGAAAAAGCTGTTTTAAAGTCAATCTTGACTATCAAAGGGTTTTTTATTCCTGATGTATTCGTGAGCGTTTGGCATACTGCGCACATTCTTAGTTTTGAGAGAGCCGACATTAATAGCTATTAAGTCTGAAACTGTGTGGCATTGTTAATTACCTCCAGTTGTGTAATTTATTGAACTTACAAAACTTAAGTTCTTGAGTGCTATGACTAATTATAAGACTGGAAATTAATCCAGAAGTGGAAATTACAGCCATACTTGAAACTGTCTCTCAGGCAACTTTGATCATTTTCACATGCTTTTATCCACAGGTCTCTATGAGGAGATCCGTCAGTGCCGTGAGGCCTGTGGAGAAGCTCATATGAAAACAATCTTGGCAACAGGTGAACTGGGTTCTCTTGCTAATGTCTACAAAGCCAGTATGATAGCTATGATGGCAGGTAAATATATGTGGTTTTCTTTTTAAGCTAAGAATGTTTTTGCTTTATTATTTATGAAGCTTAAAAAATTCTAGTAGTGAAAGTTTAGTTTTGCCAGTAGTAGAAAAAAACTATTATGCAGCAATTACTGAAGTTGCAGGTGTAGTAATGAAGTGTCACTTGTTTTGTATAACCTGCAAAAACTGCATGAAATGTTAAATAACACCTAAAACTGCTAAATGACAAAATTTGTAGGAACAAGTAATATTTGTTGTTAAATGACTGCTCCTTGGTATAGTTAATAAGGACACATACATTTGGGGCAGATACACATATTATCCTGGCATTGATTGTGGTGAGCTACAGGTGTGGTGTAGGTAGACGGCTCGTAAGCTTATTTTAAATGCAGGGGAACTTCCCTGTGAAGATTCAGGCTGATAGCTCTCGTTTCTGGTTTGCAATCACTTCTTCTAACCGTCATTATGAGAGTGTGGTTTGGAAAACCAACTGTACTGCAAATGCAGTGAGGGGAAGGACACTATGTGCTCCAGCCAGCACTGGGATGGGCTAGGTTATAACTGGTTTTAACTGGCACACTCAAAAGCGGTGGCACTCACTACCGGCAATTAATTGGCACTTCAAAAGGTGTTCAGTCCTCCCTGCCTTTGAAAACTCGATTACATATGACCTGACGTTTAGGAGTCTGTCTGTCTTTTATGCTGAACCTTTCAGCTAAGAAACACATTCCCATAAGCAGGATAGAGTTTTTAGGGGCTACGTGTAGGTTGTAGGTATTACTTTTTTGCATAGCTGTAGCCATTGCAGACTGAATGTAATGAAGCACCCATTTGAGCCTGGAATTACAGTGGTATATTCTCTGCAGCTTTGGGTCTGTGCTGGTACAATTTTCCCTAGTTTAACCAGGATTTTAGGGCAGTGGTTTAACCACCTTTAACCGGGAATTGGCTGATAAGGCTATGTTCTTTGAACTCTGTTCTAGACACCTGCTTCTTCCACTGTGCTTGAAAGAGGGCCCTTCAAGTATATTGATAGAGAGAAGTGTAAAGATATACTAAGAACTGCTTGAGTTAGTGTGTCTTCTAAACTTTCCCTCATTTCTGTGTTGATTTATTTTTCTACTGTAAGCTCTTCAGACCTGGAATTTCTCCATATTTTAGAGCAAGAAAAAATCATCCAAGGTTTTGTCAGTATTTAAATAAATATTCAACTTGCTGCTGACCTCATTGTCTCCTTACACAACACTGTGCTTATTTACTTCAAATGAAATGGGAAGCATTTCAGGCTTTTTACATGCTCAGCTACGATGTCAATTAGTATCATTAGATACAGAGGATCAGTATTATGCCAGTAAATATTGCTTTTAATTAGAAGAGCTGTAAGAATTACACATTTCCTGTCATTTAAAGTGATGTACTAATCATTATGATCACTTTTTGTAATGTGGGCTAGTGAAAAATTCAGTTTGTAAAGCACTTTAACATTTTCATTTTTTGGCTGTTGTAGTTTTTTTTAAATACAGCAGATGGCTCTATTGTTAATGATTTTGCTTGCATAGTTATTCATTTTACAAGATACTCACTCATCTGAATATATGCAGTGATTTCCTTATTTCAGTCTCTTGCTTTTTCTTTGTGGGTAGGTGGAAAAATAAGAATTTATTGGTGCCCCAAGAACATGTATTAAGGGCCAGATTTTCAGACTCTGACTTGTCAGAACTGCTGAGAACCTCAAATTCCAGCTGATTTTTTTTTTTTTATTTGTATATTTGTAGCATTTTGGGAAGAAAGTAATGTGACACAATAGTTTTAAATTCTAGCTTTAGTATCCATGTATTTTTTTCAACTGATGCCATGATTTAAAAGAAAGAAAAAAAAAAGCAGATGATCTTGTGGATATGACAGACCCTGGTGAATTTTATCTGAAGATAAAAAAAAGCAACAACTCTGATAAACTTGACCCTAGTTATTAGCTTTATATGGGGAAATTAGTTACACAATATAGTGGTTTCAACTGCAAAACTGTCTTTATAAGTTTTTGCTGCTTCTGGCCAGTTGCTCCTGTCCTTTACACCAAAATTTGCTGCTCCTTCAGCTATGCTGTTAGAAGTGCTCATCATTCTGCATTGTATGCTGAGTTTTCAAAGTAATACAGTTGAAAATTACTCCAGAAAAGGCTTAAATAGTTTGCTGTGTGTTTTTTTGTGATGGTTGGCAATGTTGGGTTTTTTTTTTTTTAAATGGCCACAGCCCCCATAATCTGGTTTACAGCCTTGCCTTGCACACTATTGCATCAGTGCAACTGAGGACATGGTGTGCAGTCCTTAAACTGTTTTCACGTCACTATGCATAATGTAAGCCTATCATGTAGAGAGCACAAAATCCTAGACTTACAGATGTTTATGTTGCCCTTGCTAAGCGTGCATACGTTCACCTGCGTCCTGAAGCACAAAGCCAGAAGATGTGTTGCAATGTGTATATAAAATACATGTGTATCCTGTGTGTCTCATTTGTGAGACTCAGAAGGCTGAGAGAGTAACACAATACTGATTTATCAGTAGCTCCATGGTTAAAAAGCTTGCCTGGGATGTCTGGGACTGGGTCTCTCTGACTGAGGTTCTTCACCCACACAGAGGTCAATTTTACAGGATATTTGCCATTAAGGATCTCAGTCCCTTCCCATAAAACTGCTCTGCTTTGCACACAGCAATTAACTGAACGGGGAATACAGCTTAGATGCCTTCTCTACCAAATAACTTTCCAAAATGTGTGTACAGTCTTCCTTACTCTGGCTTGAGGAATTATTGGTGTACTCTGGGAACCACAGCATGTTGCATTTAGTCTGATTCAGCTAGCAGGTGGGGGTTCAGCCACTGGATGTGAAACCAGCTGCACAGATCAGTGACTTGGAAAGGGATGGTAAAAGGTCGAACAATGTGCCCCTCCGTGTTGGCTGGGATTTTAAAAGAACACTAAGGTCCGTGCTCAGGCTTGGGTGGTGCGACCATGCACTTTTATATTCAAAGCAGATTGAATAGGCCACTTTTGTAGACAATCAATTGTACCCTGAAGTACAGCCCTTGCGGGACTCAGTAGAAGCCCTTCTCTGCGCACCAGTGAATGAGTATGAGCCCAGTGAGACGTGCAGTTCCCAGCAGTTCACTGGAGGTGGAAGCCAGTTGTAGAAACGGTACTTTGCACAACATGCCTGTTTACAAGATGATAATGCTTGTGCCTGGAAGAACTTGGGAAAAAAGTTTTGCTTCACAGTGAGGTATGAGAATAATTTGCCTCTATTTGAAGCAGTGTCTCTTCACTCCACCTGTGTCTGAAATCATATCTCCAAAGTACCAGGACTACTTTTCCTCCCTTCTCTAGCACAGGAGAAAGTCATCAGAATGGGAGCAGAGACTCAGTTCTCTTAAACTCTTTTAACCCTACCTTTATAGACTTGACTGACATGCAATAAGTTCTGGAATATTTAAGAATCTATTTCTGAGTGAAAGAGGCTGACAGCCTTCTAAGGACAGTGACTCACCTGGCAAGAATAATCCTTGCCGTGCTAAGGAGGACATAATGGCAGGTAGGACTGCACATCAGTGGCTCTGTGTTACTACCGAAGGAGCACATTGTTTTCAGAAAGCTGACTGAGAGAAAATCTCGGTATTGAATCAGGAGGGATTTTTTGGTCATTGATTTATAATGTCCACTGCCATGTCTTGGGCTTCTTGAATTCTTCATGGTGATTTGAGTACATGAGCTTCTCAAGGGAAACTAACTGCATCCTTGACTCTACGAGACAGCTTCCAGACAACGAGTAGAGAAAACTATAGTGGTTTTCACTGTCTGGTGTATGTATATTTGTATGAGTCATGTCCGTTTCTGCAGGAGCCACTCAAATCTGTGTCTTCGTAGCTTCTTGGAATAAGCAGTCCTAAGGAACACAAGTGGGAGTGCCTGACTCCCCCATCCCAGTGGCAGTTATTTTATGTTTCTTCGTCGTAGTGTCTTTAAAAAAACAGGTCTCGTACATGGTTCTCTTGTGAGAGGTAGGCCATTCTTTAACTTTTATTTTTTGACATAAACTTCAGAAACTGACAAGGAAGCCAGACAAAGAAGGGAAAGATTGTGAACTTGCAGTGGGAAAGGAATGCTTCAGTAAAGGTGTGGATGACTTAATTGCATATTTCAGGCATACATAAGGTTTTTATTTTGGAAAATCACATTTTAACCGTATTACCCAATTACGTATTCTTTATTGTTCTCTGTAACAATTCATATTAATTAAGATATGCAGACTTGAGGAAAGGTGGAGGAAGTGATGAAGTAAATGTGCTTTACTTTAAAAGTGAAAACTTCACCTGTGTCAGCTGTGCAAGCTGATCTTGATAGTGCAGCTCCTTTTACATCACTCCTTGGGAAGCTAAAGGAAACACAGCAGTGACGTGTGAAAGCTACTTGTTTTCATTATATGTATAGAAAGCAAGTACCTGTGGAAAGATCAAGAAGGAGTGATGTATGTTCTTCTGCAGCTCTCCTAATTGTATGGGTTTAAAACAATTTTTTCATAGGTCATTAAGCAGTTAGTCAAATAAATTGTAAGTTGAGATACTGACTAATGTAAAAATTGAATTTAAAAAGGGAATGAGTTAGTGCTAAAACAAACTAAGTTCTAAAGTTTCTAGCACAAAAACCCCTGCAAAACGTAGCATAGCAGAAGATGGCTGTGGCAATGAGATCTCTGATGCTGGTAGTCTAGATGAAGAAAATTAAAACACATTAAATGTGTGAGCAGAATTTTGTTTAGATGCTTTGATACTGTTCATTCCAAAGTGAACAGAAATAATATAGCCAAACAGTGAAGAAAAGCTTGCCGTTCTCAGAAGAGCCCACTGGCAATTCCTCCAGGTTTCATCCTGCTTTATAGGAGTGGTTCCAGTTACACGCACTTATCATTTTTACAGCAAGGTTTACCAAAGCTTAAAGGCACAAATAGGCTGGCCT